AGTCCGGTTCGTCTACATGCGCTCTTCTACGCCCATCGCGCAGTAAACTTGCAGAAGCAGAATCATTGCGGACGCACTTTTACGTTCCCGTTGTGCACACCGTGGCCACTGACTCGACACTGCGAAGGCCAGAGGACAGAGGAGTAGGCGACCGCCCCCCGTCTGGCCGAAAGAGCTGTTCGGTAGTTAATTTCCCAGTTACAGTGGTCCATGACAATTTAGCTGTAATTTATCGTTTTTTCCGTAAGTAAAAAGTTTTATCACAGAGAAGAGTATTACAATATAGCAATGTATAGAACAAATTTACTTCACGCAATGACTAAATTTATTTAGAGTGGTTGTTAACTACGCTTGACAATCTAGTTCCTCAAAATGCGTTCACTCATGCCTCCCTCTCCTCCCTTCACACCGTCTTGACAGGCTACTTACACACACACACACACACACACACACACACGTATCACGTCTGTATTTTTGTTTAAATCTAAAAAGCAGGCATACGTATGGATGTGCGTGTAAAATGATTACATTATCACATTCTCTAAATCTACATTTGAATTTAATACGTATATCTCTCCCAGCTGATCAGATCCGTCGAGAGCGATATTTGTGACTTGAGTGCTTTTTCTAGTTTCTCAAGTGTCTTCTTATCGCTTTTGATGAATAAGTCTGAATTATTACTGAAGATCTGAGAGATAGCGAAAGAAAAGAGGGGTAGGGAGGGAGGGAGGAGGAGGAAGAGGGGGAAGAAAGGGAGGGAAGGAGGAAGAGGGAAAGAAAGCGAGGGAGGTAGGAAGAGGAGGAGTGAGGGAAGACGGGAGGAAGAGGGAGAGAGGAGAGAGGGAGAGAGGGAGAGAGGGAGGAGAGGGAGGAGAGGGAGAGAGGGAGAGGGAGAGAGAGAGAGAGAGAGGAGAGAGAGAGAGAGAGAGAGAGAGAGAGAGAGAGAGAGAGAGAGAGAGAGAGAGAGAGAGAGAGAGAGAGAGATTTTGTGTGCTTGACAAAGATAAAGATAAGTCGACTCATAGATAGTTAATAGTTATCCGAGAGATAGAATGTCGAGATAGATGAATAAGAAATAGATAGGGCAAAGGGACAGATTAGCATTTAACATTCTGAATACAATTTATAATGAATATATCGGTTTAATATGAAATTTGACTCATCACTCCTGTTATTTAATAAAACAAACATTGCATATCTCAACTTATTTGACACAGCTGACACTCAAAATTAAACCCACCTGCTTATGATGAAAAAAATGTTATTGAATTCAACGTCAATATTCAAATGTTTATTTACTAGACTGTACAATAAGAACAAAATCCTTCAATCCTCGAATTATCGGAGGTACAAAGTATCAAATATGAAAATAGTAAGAGAATGTTGTAATTTCTTATTAGATAAGTTTCATGTAGAAAAAAGTTATCCAACAAGGGAAATCTTTAAAAAAACATCATACTTTTTTCTCAAAACATCCTCTGAGACACATGTGAAAATACAATTGACTAAATACATTAAAAAATCGAGTCATATGGAAAAGATTGGGAATGTAGATAAATAAAGCAAAGAAGAAAACTGTATATAGATCATAATCACTCAGGAGTTTTTGAAAATTGCCAAGGACAAACAGGCGATTTTTGTTAGCAAGGGAAAAAGTGAGAATAAAAATAAACAATGGCTTTGATCAAAAACCAACAAGCTATTTTCTAATCTACAGACACCTATCTACTACCACGTAAGTCACACACACATACGCCACGCACATAAATGCACAAACGAACACGCATAACTGAAGCAGAAGTCAATATACTTATAAATTCTGGAACCATTGTCATCTACGCACATCTTTTACCGTAGAAAGAGCACTGTATGCTGAATTATTTCTGAAGATAGGAGAGAAAGCGAAAGAAAAGGCGGAAGGAGGAGGAAGAGAAGGGATAGAGGGAGAGCGATTAAAGGAGAATGAGAGGGGGAGAAATGGAGGGAATGGGTGGAAAAGGGAGGGGAGGGGGTAGGGAAGGACGGAGGTACTGGTACATGACTAGCAGACACATAGGTAAATAGAAAGAAAATTAAACAGGTCGATAGATAAATAAATAAACAAACAGATAGACCGATATGCAGAAAGTAGATATGTAATTAGCTATTGATATAAATAGACAGATTAGCAGACAAGTAGGTAGACAGATATAGATAAACGGCGATAGATGTATAGAACATTTATAAATAAACAGACAGATATACAAAGAGATAAAACAGAGATATACAGACAGATAGACAGATAAACAGATAGATATACAGCCAGACAGATAGATACTAAAGAGGTAGACAAACAGATAGTTAAGGAAACACATAAACAGATAAAGACAGATAAACTGATAATTAAGGAAACATATTGACAAACAGGCAGTAACTGATAGACAGACAGATGATAGTATACAGATAGATGACAGATAGATAAACAGACGGATATACAGATAGATGACAGATAGATAAACAGACAGATAAACATATAGATAGATAGATAAACAGGCAGATAAACAGATAGATAGATAGATAATCCAACATATAACCCATAAAGACCCACCCCAGCGCCATCCGTCCCCGCAACTCAGTCCCTCCCGAACAAAAGACGATCGATGTAAACAACTTTCCCTGCGCCATCTTTTCGAAGTCCTCCTCGCTTCTCCAGGACCTCCACCACGTAGTAGCCGAGGATCCCCAGCACGAGGAACACCAGCAGGATAATGACTTTGGGCTCGATGCAGATGAGGGTGCTGCAGGCGTAGGAAATGATGAAACCCGTCGATTCCCAGAGGCGGTAGTTGCTGAAGGCCGCTTCGGATTCGCCCGGGAAGATCACGCCGTAGAGAGCTGGGGAAACGGATGTATTTTTATTAATTTATTTAATAATTTTATTTATTTATCTATTTATTTATTATTGTTATTATTATTATTATTATTGTTATTATTATTATTATTATTATTATAATTATAATTATCATTATTATTATTATTATCATATTATTATTATCATTGTTATTATTATTATTATTATTGTTACTATTGTTATTGTCAATATCATTATCATTATTTGGGGAAACGGATATATTTTGATTAATAATTCATGATTAATATGATTGTTATTATCATTATTATTGTTATTAATAATATTATTAGTCACTATTGTTATTATTATTATCATTATTATTATCTTTTATGTATAAATAAATATTTTTCAAGTGCTGAATTTGTATTGTATTTTTATTTACCTTTTTGTCTATCGGTCTATCTTTCTATCTATTTCTCAATATTTCTGTTACCCATTATATAGGCGTGTAGGTGTGTGTATTTCTATACATAATTTGTAGTTTAATAAATACTTAAGCTGTCAAGAACTTTATCCCAAAGCGTAAACAATTACATACCTCTCTCCCACCTCAAAAAAGTAAAAAAAAAAAACAAGTAAAATAAATGATAATAACAACAACAAAACACCAATAACAACAACAATAAAGGTCGTCTGAATGCTCAACAACAATAAACATGGTCCAAAGACTCAACAACAACAACTACAACAAAAACAACAATAATAAAAGTCGTCCAACCCTCAACAACAACAACAATAAAAATCGTCCAAACAATCAATAACAAAAACAACAATAAAAATCGCCCAAACCCTCAAACAACAAAAACAATAAAAATTGTCTAAGCAATCAACAAAAACAAAAACAACAAGAATCGTCCAAACCCTCAACAACAACAATAACAGTAAAAATCGTCCAAGCAATCAACAACAAAAAAAAAAACAACAATAAAAATCGTCCAAGCAATCAACAACAACAACAGACAACAATAACAAATCGTCCGAGCAATCAACAACAAAACAATAAAAACCATCCAAAACCATCAACAAACAAACAACAAAACAACAAAAAACACCAACAAACATAACCCAAACCCACAATTGATCTGCGTCTGCCACACTCCGTCGGCCACGCCCCACAACCCGGCGAGGACGAAGAACACGGGCAGGTCATCGGCTGTCGGGGTCCAGAACCTGAGGGTGATGATGACCCCGAGGTTGATGAGGGCCCCCAGGGTGAACACAGGGACCCTCCCCACGGCCTTGACCAGGGGGGAGAACGAGTAGGAGCACACGGCGTCGCAGAGGCCGTAGCAGATCATGACGTAGCCGACCATGTGCACGCCCAGGCCGCAGGATACGTAGGCCTAGGGGGAGTATAAGGGAGGTGAGAGGATATTTAGGCCTAGGGAGGTATAAGGATAGTGAGATGATACATAAGCCAAGGGAGGTGAGAGGATGCGTAGCCTAGGGAGATAAAAGGAAGTGAGGATACATAAGCCTAGGGAAGTGAGAGGATACATAGGCCTAGGGGGGTATAAGGGACGTGAGAGGATACATAGGCCTAGGGGGGTATAAGGGAGGTGAGATGATATTTAGGCCTAGGAGGATATAAGGGACGCGAGAGGATACATAGGCCTAGGGGGGTATAAGGGAGGTGAGATGATTTTAGGCCTAGGAGGATATAAGGGAAGTGAGAGGATACATAGGTCTAGGAGGGTATATGGGAGGTAAGATGATATTTAGGCCTAGGAGGATATAAGGGAGGTGAGAGGATGCGTAGGCCTAGGGAGGTGAGATAGATAGATGAACACAAGCCTAAGGAGGTGAGAGGATACATAGGCCCAGGGAGATATAAGGGAGGTTAGAGGATATATAGGCCTAGGGAGATATGAGGTGAGAGGTTTACATAGGCCTAGGGAGATAAAAGGGAAAGTGAGAGGATACATAGGCCTAGGGAGGTGAGAGGGCACATAGGCCTAGGGGAATAAAAAGGGGATGAGAGGATACATAGGCCTAGGGAGATACAGGGGAGGTGAGAGGATATATAGGCCTAGGGAATAAAAAGGAAGTGAGAGGATACATATGCCTAGGGAGATATAAGAGAATCGAGTTATCAGTTTGTTAAGATTATGCGAAGCCCGACCCAGCGAATCGTCATCACACTTACATGCACAGACACAGAAATTAATACATATCTATCAATCTAGACATACATATCTCCCGGATAGATAGAAAATGTATATCTATCAGACAGACAGAATCTAAACTTATTTCTGTATATATGAATATGCATTGGGCCAAGCCTCGCATAATTCTAACAAAGTGGTCGTAGTGTACAAAGGGTAAAGAGTAGATAGAGTAGCAAGGGAAAATAATAAATTTCAGGGGTTAAATGGAGTCATATCCCCATGGAATAAAATAGTTATTGTAGTAGGGGAAAATAATAAAATTTAGGGGTTAAGTGGAGTCATATCTGCATGAAATAAAATAGTTATTGTAGTAAGGGAAAATTATAAAATTCAGGGGTTAAATGGAGTCATATGCGCTGGGAATAAAACAGTTATTGTAGTAAGAGAAAATAATAAAATTCAGGGGTTAAATGAAATCATATGCGCATGAATAAATAAATAAATAAATAGTGGTTATATGCACAGAGAATGAAACCGTCTACAGAAGCTGAATCATGCACGAGGAGTGAAAAGTAGTCGTGATAGTAAGGGAAAGTAATATTCTGGGGATGAGTACAGTCATATGTACATAGGATGAAACAGTCATTGTAATATGGGAAACTAGTCGTAATAATAAGGGGAAAAGAACAAAAATCAGGGATAAAGTAAAATCATTATGTGCATGTAATGAAACACAGTAAAGAAGAAAAAAAGAAAAGAAAAGAAAAAAAGTTTATATACACAGAGAATAAAAACACAGTAAAAAAATAGAGTTATATGAGCATAAAATGAAACAGTTCATTCACGTAGGATGAAGAACAATCATAGTAGTCAGGGAAAAGAAATGCACACGGGAAGAAATTATGCATGCTTGTACAAATCGAGTTTGCAAACTGATGGTAGGTAAACATACAAATTTTGCCATTACTGCTGTTGGGTAAAAGCTGTTTCTTGGTCGATATATCCTCATGGTTATTATACTTTTAGGTAAGGATGATTTCAAGTATTTGAAATCGTTCTTGTAAGTCTTTGAGTTAGGGGGGGCGGGTCAAAGAGAATTTTTTCATTTCTCGTGGCAATTTGGTTGGGAAACGTTGCACGTATCCGAACAAACTTCAGGCTAGAAGAAGAGTCAAACGGAATGAAACATTGTTAGAATAACGAATGAAACACTAAACCACGACGTTTCGATTCAGCCTAGTGTCCTCTTCAGGCAGTAAAGACCTTGCTAATGTTTCGGTTCCATTGGTTCTCCATACAAACGTTTCAGGCTAGAAGAGTCAAACAGATTGAAACAATGTTAGAATAGCGAATGAAACACTACTACGTTTCTATTCACATTTCAATTTATTGCCATGTGAGAGATAATTGTGTATAGTTACTGTAGGTGAGATAGAATTCAGTTTGATGCGACGTCATAATTTTCATATCGCTCCATGGTCCCAGAAAGTACCCCTTGGCTACATCGCCTAGAATCAAATCACTGTGTTTGTATTTGCATTAGTTAGTGTCCATGCACGCTAAGAAATACACATGGGAAATCAAGGACTCGGATATGTTAGGAAATTAATAACTCAAATCTGTTAATCTGAAGAGGCAGCTTATTTGTGAATCGTTGCACTAATCCGAAAAAAACTCAGGCTAGAAGAGTCAAACGGAATGAAACATTGTCAGAATAGTGAATGAAACACCAAACATATAGCGCCATGGTCCAGAAAGTACCCCTTGGCTACACCGCCTAGGATCAAATCACTGTGTTTGTATTTACATTAGTTAGTGTCCATGCACGCTAAGAAATACACATGGGAAATCAAGGACTCGGATATATTAGGAAATTAATAACTCGAATCTGTTAATCTCTAGAGGCAGCTTAGTTGTGAAACGTTGCACTAATCCGAACAAAACTCAGGCTAGAAGAAGAGTCAAACTGAATGAAAGATTGTCAGAATAGTGAATGAAAGATTGTCAGAATAGTGAATGAGAGATTGTCAGAATAGTGAATGAAAGATTGTCAGAATAGTGAATGAAAGATTGTCAGAATAGTGAATGAAATATTGTCAAAATAGTGAATGAAACACCAAACCACGACGTTTCGATTCAGACTAGTGTCGTCTTCAGACAGTAAAGACCTTGGTATTGTTTCAGTTCCATTGGTTCTCCATACAAACGTTTGTGTTCGTATGCACCCTATTAGAACTGCACTCGCATCCATGGACAAATCCATACATAAATATCAGTGGTTCCCAACATTTTTTGTTCTGTGGCCCCGACCTCTATATAATGATCTTCCTGGCCCCCTTCAGTGGCTGTTATCTTTTCAGATAAAGTTATTTCTAGTTATGGATATTGTAAAGGTGGCAATACCTATAGGACGAGAAGACTGTCTGGAAAGATTCCAATTTATCATTATGTGAGAGATAATGATATGTAAGTACTGTACGTGAGATAAAGTACAGTTTAATTCGGTTATAATTTACATATTGTTCCATGGCCCCTCAGAAAGTATCCCTTGGCCTCCAGAATGGGAACCCCTGATATAGATCGTACTGCAGTAATAAAGATCGCTGTATCTATATCACTACATCGCTTAGAACTAAATCACTGTTCCTGTATTTGCATTAGTGTCCATACACGCTAGAGAAATATACATGCATCCATTTCCACACCGATAAACCTATATCAAACTCCAATAAAGGCCCTATGACACTATCACTTTTTCCGTCTATTTTTTGCGTTTCCGAATGAACTTTCCGTATGAAAATCAGCTGACCCATGTAAACAAACATGGCGCTACCGGAGTGAGGTCCCGGGAATCACACGAACATTCTCATACATATTACGTTATTTTAAAGAAATATGATGATGCATATTGTAGATACGAATGTTCTAAATTGTTAGCTTATGTTTACATTCACTCATCTTATCTAATTTGTTAATAACACAAGATCAAGGCGGAAATTAGTCAGACGGAAACGGTCGTAACCGTCTTGGTCTGGGAGGCGTTCCGTTTGCAAACGACACTTGCGGAGAGCTTCAAATTCCGACGGAAACGCAAAAATTGACGGAGAAAGTGATAGTGTGGTAGGGCTTTAACAAAGACAGCAATTGCACAACCACATCACAAAATGGTGAATCAGTGCAGAATCCCTTCGAAAAATTTCACAGCCTCACCGCAGTGAAGTCGGCGCTCAGGAAACCCTGTTCGAGACCCGACCAAATGGTGATCGGGATGATGAACACCTGGTACGGATGGCGGATGTGGCTGAACGTCTTGGCCAGCAGTTGCAGGGTCGATTCGCCGTCTTCTGTGGCGTCGGGGCTCTTCCTCTCGAACCTGCAGTTTAGAAAGGAAAAGTTTTTTTCACTCTCTCTCTCTCTCTCTCTCTCTTTTTTTTTTTTTTTTTTGTTTTTCATTTAGAGGTTTTCAGAGGGACTGAAAATGCATTGGAACAAATATTTTAAGGATGAAAAGATGTGTTTTTGAATTTCATTTGGACAGGGAAATGTGTTGCATGGAAAATAAATATCTATATTTTAAGAACTAAAGGTTCTCTGTTTGAAAAATTGTAGTATCCTTTTTGTAAGGGACAGAAAAGGGTATTGCAAGAATAATACAAAACTATATTTAAGACAACGATTTTTTTTCATTTGCAATATATTGGTGGCTTTTGGGGTTACAGAAAAAAAATGTATTGCAAGAATATGTAACACGCACACACACACAAATAATAATACCCATCATCCTATTTCCTGTATCAGACTTACGTGCTCAATTAATTTCTTTATCATCATTACTATTATTCATTATCCCACCTATTAATTCCTTCATTAATTCACCAATTTATCATCATTACCATTACCCATCATCCTATTTCCTGTATCAGACTTACGTGCTCAAAGGGTCGATTTATCAATGTATCAGTATTACTATTATTCATTATCCCATCCATTCATTCCTTCATTAACTCTATTTTATCGTCATTACTATTATTCATCATCCCACCTATTAATTCCTTCATTAATTCACTAATTAATCATCATTACTATCATTAATTATCCTGTTTCTTGTAGCAGACTTACGTGCTCAATTAATTTCTTTATCATCATTCCTATTATTCATCATCCCACCCATTAATTCCTCCATCCATTCCCTAATTAATCACCATAAACATTACCATCACCCTATTCTTGTAGCAGACTTAGGTGCTCAATTAATTTCTTTATCATCATTACTATTATTCATCATCCCACCTATTAATTCCTTCATCCATTCCCTAATTAATCACCATAACCATTACCCATCCTCCCATTTCCTGTATCAGACTCACGTGCTCAGAGGGTCGACGAAGAGAACCACGACAAGCGACGATAAAAGAGCAAGCACGAGATAGATCGAAGACATGGTGTATCTCTGCCACTGGGGGATGTCGCTGGCAGTGTTGTTGTCGCCGGAACTGCTATCCCAGGGGCAGAAGTGGTAGCCGCAGCGCTGTAAATCCTCGTCGGTTTTGTTCCCGTCGGCCACGCCCACCGACAGGACTGGGGGTAGGGAGGGTGGATAGGTAGATGGATAGATAGATAGGTAATAGAGTAAGAGAGAGGGAGAGGGAGAGGGAGAGGGAGAGGGAGAGGGAGAGGGAGAGGGAGAGGGAGAGGGAGAGAGAGAGAGAGAGAGAGAGAGAGAGAGAGAGAGAGAGAGAGAGAGAGAGAGAGAGAGAGAGAGAGAGAGAGAGAGAGAAGAGGGATGGAGAGGGAGAGACGGGCAGAAGTGGTAGCCGCAGCGCTGCAAATCCTCGTCGGTCTTGTTCCCGTCGGCCACGCCCACCGACAGGACTGGGGGTAGGGAGGGTGAGGGTGGGGTAGTGAGGGTGGATAGATAGATAGGTAGGTGGATAGGTAGATAGATAGATAGAGAAAGAGAGAGAGAGGGGAGGGGAGAGAGAGAGAGAGAGAGGAGGGAGAGGGAGGGAGGGAGGGAGAGAGAGAGAGAGAGAGAGAGAGAGAGAGAGAGAAGAGAAGAGAGAGAGAGAGAGAGAGAGAGAGAGAGAGAGAGAGAGAGAGAGAGAGGACTGGGGGTAGGGAGGGAGGGTGGGGGTAGTGAGGATGGAAAGATAGATAGATAGGTAGGTAGATAGACAGGTAGGTGGATAGACAGATAGATAGGTAGGTGGATAGATAGAGAGAGACACACCTGTAGAGGAGATGACGTTCCCCCACACCTGCATCTCTCTCTCTCTCTCTCTCTCTCTCTCTCTCCCTCTCCCATTCCTCTCAGAGACACACCTGTAGAGGAGATGACGTTGCCCCACACCTGCATATCTCTCTCTCTCTCCTCCTTCCTTCCCTCTCCCTCCTCTCCCTTCCCTCTCCTCCTTCTCTCTCTCTCTCTCTCTCTCTCTCTCTCTCTCCCTCCTTCCTTCCCTCCCCCTCTTCTTCCTCCTTCCCTCCTCTCCTCCTTCCCTCCTCCCTCTCTCTCCCTCCATCCCTCCCTCTCTCTCCCTCTCCCATTCCTCTCAGAGACACACCTGTAGAGGAGATGATGTTCCCCACACTCTCTCTCTCTCTCTCCTCTCCTCTCTCTCTCTCTCTCTCTCTCTCTCTCATCTCCTTCTCTCTCTCTCTCTCTCTCTCTCTCTCTCTCTCTCTCTCTCTCTCTCTCTCTTATTCCTCCTTCCTTCCCTCTCCTTCTCTCTCTCTCATACCTGTAGAGGAGATGATGTTCCCCCACACCTGCGTCGACTGGAAGAACAGGAAGAAGATGCCGAAGAACCGCGTGATGATGACGTCACTGTTGACACCCACCAGGTCTGCGTAAATGGTACCGACCTGTGAGATAAAAGTAAATAAATAAATAAATAAATAAATGGGGAGATAGATGAATAAATGAAAGGATGGATAGAAAGACAAACAGATAAATAAATAGATTTATGAAGAGATAGATAAATAGATAAATAAATAGATAGATAATAGATAAATGATTATATAGATAAATAGATAAATCAATAGATAAATAGACAAATAAATAGATAGATAAATAGATAAATGAACAAAAAATTAATAAACTGATCAATAAATAAATGCATAGGTGAATAGATAAATAAATAGATATATAGATAAATAAAATTAACTGAATTGTTGATCTGTGGTTAAAAAAAGGACAGTGACTTGAATTGTTGATTTCTAATCAAATTAAACAAATGAATGAAAACTACGACGTTTAAGAGTAGTTATCCGATAAGGTTGCTTACAGAAATTATGAAGTGGGAGAGAGAGAGAGAGAGAGAGAGAGAGAGAGAGAGAGAGAGAGAGAGAGAGAGAGAGAGAGAGAGAGAGAGAGAGAGAGAGAGAGAGAGAGAGAGAGAGAGAGAGAAAACTGGAGAGAGAAAGAGGCAGACAGAGACAGACAGATACAGAGACAGAGAAAGAGAGAGAGAGAGAGAGAGAGAGAGAGAGAGAGAGAGAGAGAGAGAGAGAGAGAGAGAGAGAGAGAGAAGAGAGAGAGAGAGAGAGAGAGACATACAGACAGAGAAAGAAAGAAAGGAGAGAGAGAGAGAGAGAGAGAGAGAGAGAGAGAGAGAGAGAGAGAGAGAGAGAGAGAGAGAGAGAGAGAGAGAGAGAGAGAGAGAGAGAGAGAGAGAGAGAGAGAGAGAGAGAGAGAGAGAGAGAGAGAGAGAGAGAGAGAGAGAGAGAGAAGAGAGAGAGAGAGAGAGAGAGAGAGAGACAGACAGACAGACAGAGATAGAGAGACGGAGAAAGAAAAAAATGGAGAGAGAGAGAGAGTCCGAGAGCAGGTTGAACTGATATAAAAACATAAAAATAAAGATTATCTGAAGTACAACCTTGCCATGGCAGATTCCACAGAAGGACAGAGACAAGCACAGAAAGTTGATTCCATTTGAAGAGAATATAAAACGATTTACATATCTGTCTGTCGGTCGGTCTATCGTGCACACATAATAGCTCTCTCTCTCTCTCTCTCTCTCTTGTGCACACAAAATCTTTCTCTCTCGTGCATACAAAATTTTCTCTTTTTCTCTCTCCCTACCCCCCTCCTCTCCCTCCCTCCACCCTCTCTCTCACTTTCACTATCTCTCTTTCCCTCCCACCCCTCTCTCCCTCCCTTTCCTCTCTCTCCTACACACACAAATCTCTCTTTCTCTCTCTGTCTTTTGCTTATATCTAAAAATAATATAACACAGTTTACATGCCTAGCCAAGAGAAATAAACAATTAGACAATTAAATAACAATCCAATATATAAATGAATCAAGTTAATTAATCATCATAAACATGAGAAAAGTGGGGAAAGATACTAATCTATTGATTTAAGGTCATTAGTGACTCAATATTCATAGGTACTTGAAGAAGTGCTTGCCTTATTTACATGTCTTATCTTCTCAATATTTTTTATCACTGATCATATCAAGGGCAAAGCACGATAGTCCATAAGTGATAATTCTCCGGACAGTGCAATTTGATCACTTTTTGTCCATCAGAAATGAATCCAAGCTTCGTGTATTTTCATTTTATTCTATCATATTTATGTATTTATTTATTTCTTACTTTTTATTTTATTTATCTATTTATTCTTTATCTAGTTTTACATTAAAAGGGGTACTGCGCATTTAGCTGTGTAACCTGCAATGTGTACTATGCATAGTGGTTGTTTTAACCTGGTTTTCCCCGAGATACTTAAACTGCCATATCAGAAACAAAACAAAAAGGGACGTTTTGAAGTACTGAGTCGCATGAGGAATTCTTAGTGAGATAGATAGACAGACAGATAGATAGATAGAGTGTGTTGTGTGTGTGTGTGTGTGTGTGTGTGTGGTGTGTGTGTGTCGTGTGTGTGTGGTGAGTGTGGTGTGTGACTGGTTGTGTGTGTGTGTGTGTGTTGTGTGTGTGTGTGTGTGTGTGTGTGTGGAAGAGAGAGAGAGAGAGAGAGAGAGAGAGAGAGAGAGAGAGAGAGAGAGAGAGAGAGAGAGAGAGAGAGAGAGAGAGGAGAGAGACGAGAGAGAGAGAGAGAGAGAGAGAGTGAGAGAGAGACGAGAAAGATGAGAGAGAGAGGAGGAGAGAGAGAGAGAGAGAGAGAGGAGAGAGAAGAGAGAGAGAGAGAGAGAGAGAGAGGAGAGAGAGAGAGAGAGAGAGAGAGAGAGAGAGAGAAAAGCGCGAAAGACTAGAAAAAAAAAAAAACACGCAGGCAAACCCCGCCCCCAGGCACCTTGGTGAGGTAGGTGCACTTGGCGGACCACATGGGCGCGGCGCCGAGCCCGACCACCACCGCCGTGGGCACCAGCGTGTAGATCTCGGGGTAGAACTGCGCCGCCATGTAGGTCGAGTAGCACAGCATGCAGGCCGCCATCGTGTACTTCTCGTGCAGTCGCCTGATCATCCACGAGGGGAGGAAGCAGCACGAGAAGATGAAAGCAGCGTACAAGGCGGTCTGGGCAGCTGTGCCGTCTACCCTGAGAATTAGGAAGAATGTAAAAGTTGCATCGATCTCGCCATCTGTGCGGGATCCTAGTGCCGGCGACAAACAGGATCCAGGACAGTTCCATTACTTTGGTTCGTCTTCGTAAGTGATTCGTTTTTTTTTTTCTTTACTGTTAATACAATATCCACTGTGACATTTGGGATAAAGTATTTCATTAAAATAATTGAATGTATGAATGATTTGAATGCATGCTACTGATTGATGTAAGATAATGGCAGTTGGCGGCCAAGCATTCAGTAACATGATCTAAAATATAAATCTACATGGAATCAGAACGATATCTTATCTATTCATTAACAGAGCTAGCATTATATTGATATTCAGTTACTAAACCAACACGGACATACATAATACATTGATATTTCTTAAAAGCGCACGCTGACGCTGCTTCGTATAAAAGTATTAAAATGAAATAGATAACTTTGAAAACAAACGGTGAAAAATGGGGTAAAAGCACATATATTTACATATTTTATGATAATATGTGTACGGCCAATCCCCCAACAGAATTTTTTTTTAAATATTCACAAGCGCGCGGCAAAATTTGCGCATCACGCCACTCACTTGTTAATGGACGACTGAAGATTCGACATGGAATTGTAACTCGTGAAAAGAAACGTGAAAGCGATGGAAATAATTATGATGTTCTTCATGATGGCGAATTTTTCCTTCTTCTCCTCGGGCGTGAGAACTTTAGGTCCTGCCACGCCCGGTGTGACAGGGTTTCCCGCCCTTGAGACGACATCCGGGTCCTTCTGGATGTGTTTGTGCACTGCGGTAAAAGGGAGGAAATGGTTGGTAATGGCGGCATCGAGTGAGTTGCATATTCTGGTTTAATGATTTAGATGTTTGAAAAACGTGTGTGTCTATATTCATATATATACATATATATATATAATATATATATATATATATATTATATATATATATATATATATGTATATATATATATATATATATAATACATAAGTATATGTTTGATATAATACATATATATATACATACATATATATATACATACATATATATATATATATAATATATATGTACAATATACAGGTATACACATATATGTGTGTGTGTGTTGTGTGTGTGTACAAATATATATTATATATATATATATATATATATATATATATATATATATATACATATATATATATATATATATATGTATATATATATATATATGTGTATATACATATGTATATATATACATATATATATATATACACACACAAATATATAAATATATATATGTATGTACAGTAAGTATGTATGTGTGTATGTACTGTAAACGCAATCAAAACAAAATACGATAGCAGAATTACAAAGCCTCCATAACAACAAAGCAATAGATTACCAAAACCAAACTACAGAAGCCTCCTCACACTGTACCGGTTCGTCGTCTTGAACAAAAGCCGGATTATTGAAGGCTACTTTCTGCCCTCTGTCCGCCATGTTGGAATCTCGCGTCTGCTTCGGAAACTATCTTTCATCTTTAAAGAAAAGGGAGATTTAGAGTAAATTATGAACTGTAGAGGAAGAAATGGGTTAAAATGGGATGATGGTGATGGGGTGAAGGATTGTGATGATGGTGAGAGTGAGAGGAAGGTTGATTGTGGCGAAAAATTGGTAATGATGATAGTGAAATATACTTTTTTTTTCTTTTTTATGCCCTGTTGAATTCCTAGATTGATTTTTAAACGGTACTTAAAAGTACATACAGACACACGTACACGCAACACAGACATACACACCTACACACACACACACACACACACAAAAAAACACATATTAGCGTGTACGTGCTTGTGTGCGTGTCGGCTTTTATATGTACACGTCGAGAGCTGAAAATACAAACCCAGAAAGTAATGAACAAAAAGAAGAAAAGAAAAAAAAGAAGAAAAAGAAAGACAAGAAGAAAGAAAAAAAGAAGAAGAAAAAGAAACAGAAAAAAGAAGAACAAAAAAAAGATATAAATAAAAAAGGAGAGAAAGAAAAAAGAAAAAGTAGAGAAGAAGAAGAAGAAGAAGAAGAAAAAATGGAAGTGCCCCCATCGGCAAGAGCGCGCGGCCAGGTATCCAATTAACGCTACCTGCACCCACCTCGAGACATCTCCAAGATTAGGAGGCCTCTGTCCACTCCGCGATAAGGAAAGAGTTGAACGAGATAACGTATCGGTTGAGAAAAGCTAATGAAAAATGAGGAAGGGTACTCTCTCTCTCTCTCTCTCTCTCTGCTACTCGCTCCTGTCTCTCGTCTGTCTCTCTTCTCTGTCTCTCTCTCTCTCGTTTTTTCTCTCTCCCTTCTTCGCTTGTCTTCTCTCTCTCTCCCTCTCTTTCTGTCTCTGTCTCTGTCTGTCTCTATCTCTCCCTCTCTCTCTCTCTCCGTCTCTCCGCTCCGTGTCATGTCTCCTCTCTCTCTCTCTCTCTGTCTGTCTGTCTGTCTGTCTGTCTGTCTATCTGTCTCTCTGTCTCTCTCTCTCTCTCTCCCTCCCTCCTCTCTGTTTCTCTCTCAGATTCCAGTGAAAGATAACATATGGTAATAATGTTGATAGCAAATGCCTTAGTGGTGACAATGGTAATGATGGAGTTATTGCTTCTATTGATGTTTTATCTTTGGCGGTGATGATAATGTCAGTAATGATAATATAGTGATAATAATGATAAAAAAATACCAAGGACAAAAATACAGCAGTGTCCACCATGCCCTTCAGTTTGTTTATTTTCCTTTATTTGTGTGAATTATTTGATTCATAGATGTTACAGTCTTTTCGTGAATTCAGAAAAAAAAACAGTTAAGTAAGTCAAGTATTTACATGTGGGATACATTTCAACAACCAAATCGTAACAATAATATCAACAGCTTTTTCTAAATATAAAGGTTTTATATGGACCCTATACATGAAAGTGTCTGATTTGTGTTCACTGGGACAGGTTTACAAAAGGTATGAATGAGAATGAGTATCTTAACAGTGTAAATGTACCTATTTTTTTATTATGTTTCTTTCTTATATAATCGAAACCGGTCAAATAATTTTTGGTGCTTGGGAGAAATCCTTTTTTATTCATATCTTCTCTACGTAGTGACTTTGCACCCTGTTGCTTCCAAATTTTTCAAAGTTTGAAAATGAGCTAAACTTTTAAACTTTTTCTTTCAGTTTTGACTCAGACTTTAGACAGCATTGTATTAGGATTATACAGCGAAATTTCCCCGACATAAGTTATATGCTACAACGATAAAGTGAATATTACTGTTTAAAAGATTTCATTTAATTATTAATTATTAATTTAATTATTAATTATTTAGGCAGGTATAAACAATGATATAATTATAAAGGTGCTTTTTTCTAACATGATAAAAAAATTAACATAATTCTCAACTTTTCAACCTAGACTCCAAGGATATACATTATATCATACAAGATTATACATTATATTTTACATTATACAAGCACCATTAGGGTTGTTTGAGAGGCTTGTTACTCCAATGATGAAAACCAGGCTGTTTGAACGATTCACTGATAAGACAAGCCAACCGATGGGATTAGGCGTTTAGTGAAGCGTATACCCAAAATACCCATTATTGTGCGTCCTCAAAACGTCTGTAATATGGTTTAAGATAACCGCGCTGTCAGATTCTGGGCTGAGGGTGGGTATGCGGGGGGTGGGGTGGGGGGGGGTTGAGGGTGGGTATGCGGGGGGGTGGGGGTGGGGGGAGGGGGGGGAGGGTGGGTATGCGGTGGGGGTTGAGGGTGGGTATGCGGGGGTGGGGGAGGGTGGGTGAGGGTGGGCGGTGAGGGTGGGATGGGGGGTATACATCCATGCCCCCTCCCCCCATGTGAAATAGCACCTAAGATTAGGGGTTCCTAAGGGGGGTCATGTAACTCCAAGAGGGCCGTGGGGTACTTTGGTGGGGGGGGGGGGGGTATGCATGAATTGATTTAACTGAATTTGATCTCACTTAT